TCTGTCCTTAAGACAGATTCGCCCCGCTATGGTACTTACGGTTGAGTGGCGTCTATCTCCCAGGATACAATGACCTTCACAAATTGTAGTAGTACTCCAAACAACTTGTTCGGCGAACCAAACCTGTGTTCTAACTCTCTGAATATTTTTTTTCCCAAAAATTATATATGAAGAATATATGTACTTAGAGCAAAGAGGACAGCAATATCAAAACAAAATACAGACTGAATTTCGGGGGTACCTCAACTGCTGGAAATGTATCTATATATATAGGTCATTGCAGCTCTTTTTTGTCATATTGTTCTGCCCGTTCGATATCATTTTCCGATCAAATCGCTTCTTTTTTCTTCGTTGTATGTTTCACTGTATTTGCGCTCCTCTGTACAAGGTAAACTTTGGTTGATGGTGTGACCTTATAAGAAAAACCGCTCTTTCAGGTGTACAAAATTCGATCAGAGAACTAGACACAATTTTGACCCCACTAAGAGGATTATGTCCAATTCTGTAATCAAAATCTGTGTACTTAGAAATTTTCAAAGAAAAAACATTCACGAATTTGAATAATTTATTTGTCTGATTCTTTCTTTCCTATGCAGGTGACACTTCCTGATTTTTTCTTGGCGGACCAATTAACAAGCCAGGTGAGTGGGTGGGGCTTTTGTTAGGCTAAAGTTGGGTTTAAATAATTTTTTAGGTGAACTTTTCTGTAATTTTACCCACCAAAAAAAAAAAAAAAAAAAAAATTTTACTTTTTCATTATGCTTAAACTAGATAGATCAGAAAAGTAAATAATAATAATAAAAAAAAGGAGAGTTAAATAAAAACTAAAAATGTTGATTTTTTTTTTTGTTTTAATACTTTAGTGAACTTCAATTTAGATTTTTTTCAAAAAAAAATTAATTTTTAAATCCTACTAGACTAGACAAACCGAAAATAGTAAAAAAAAAAATGATTGAAATTTAAAAAAAATAAAAAAATCACTAAAAACAAAAAAAATTAGGGAAAATAGTGGCTTTTTTAACTGCTGCCAAACAGTTTCAATACATATGCCTCGTTTGAAAGTGTCGAGTATTGTTTTTATTGTAGGTGCAAGGATTTAGAAGTCTGGAATTCTACATTTGCTACTATGGTTGGGGAGACTATAAGAACAGAGAAACTACTTGCCAAACAAATAATCTCTACAAAACACTTTATTTCATTATTGCTGCAATTCCCTACTGGTCTCGTTTTCTTCAGGTATGTCATTCGTTGTTTCTTCCAATTTCAGAGTTTTCTTGCAAGCTTTATGAGCTCTAATGACCCTTACAGTTTTTAAATAGGGGTTTCAGGATACGTATCGATATCAGTTGTGGTGTTGAGGTATCTTAAATATTGAGTGATACATATCGGAATTGGGTGATACGGGTGTCAATTTTTTTAAATCATTGGCCCCAAAAATGTTTTTTATAGCAGTCTTATCAAATCTTGAATCAACTATAAACTGATACTTGTCAGCAACTCACTGTTAGATGTGATTTTCATTCTGACTAGTATGTATCGGTATTGAAATGATAAGAAAACTTGAGACGCATTGGTTGATAGCTTTGAAACTTTATCCAAAATTACCTTCAACTTTTCCCCAAACATGAACAATTTAGGCCTGGTTTGGTAATATTTCCATTTTTTTCTGCTTTTTTTTTTCTTTTTTTAAATTGAAAATGAAAACTTATTTTTTGGAAAACAGAGAAAAAATATTTTACTTATTTTCAAAACAAGTTTGCACTCTCTCCTTCCTCTCCCACCACCTCCACCCACCACAGCCACCAGCCAGCTGCAACAACCCTCCATCGAGCTCCTACGAGATCAGGTAGGCTCCATGCGATTGAACAGTCACTGCACATGACCTCTGGCCACATGCTGGCAGCCCTCCCCGGCCCACTCCACCGCTAGCCACCATATTTGTCCACTCTCAACTGCTAGCACCACCACCGACAGCTCACCAAGCATGTTTCTGTTGGAACAATCTTCTGTGTAAATAAAATAACTTTCTTAACTTACACCACCGACAGCTCATCAAACATGTTTCTTCATTTTTGTTTTCATTGTGTACACCGAACAAGTTTTTTTTTTTTAATTATTAAAATGACACCTTAGTTTGTGAAATTGCTTGAAATTGGAACTTAACTTGGCCGAAATTTCATACATAAGCTCAAAGTCAATTTCTTTGTTTTTCGAAATATTTCCACAAAAATTACTCACCTAAAACACTTTTTTTTCTTTCCTTCCAAGTGCCTTCGTCGCCTGTACGAAGAGAGAGATGCTATGCAAGGAATCAATGCATTGAAATATTTCTCAACCATAATAGCTGTGACTATGAGGACAGCTTAGGACTCGTTTGGGAACAGACTAATTTAGTAACTTTTTGGCTATTTGGCTAAAATATGAGCTAAAAAAAACTAGTATGTTTGGGATGACTTTTTGGCTTTTTACGAAAAGATGTGCAAAATGTAGAGAGAAAAGAGAATCTTTGACTTTTTGGTATGGGTTGTTGGCTTTTTGGCTAATTTAGTAACTTTTTGACTTTTTGGCTAAAAAGGAAGGTTGCCAAACGAGGCCTTATGAGCTCAAACAAGGGATTGGTTGGAAGACTATAGCTTTCATTTCCTCACTGAATGCAGCAATCTTTGGTACCTATTGGGACCTTGTCATAGATTGGGGCCTTTTTCAGAAGAATTGTAAGAACAGTTGGTTGAGAGACAAGCTCCTAGTACCACACAAAAGTGTCTATTTTGTAGCCATGGTGAGTAAGAGAAAAATTATAGTTGGCAGCTTGCACTAAATCTCACTTTGATGTGTCATTTTTTAATTCTAATAGTTAATCTCTTACATTTTTTTGTTGAAGATGCAATATTGCCTTTCTATTAGTTTGGTGTTAAATTTGTTGACAAAAATTGCCGTGTAACCCCCACGCAAGGCATTTTTTAGGATGAAAAGGTTTTTTATTTTTTATTTTTTTATTTTTTTATTTTGCCTTAGAGTGAAAATATAGTAGAGAAAAATTTTTTTTTTTTTTTTTTTTTTTTTTTCCTTTTCTTCCTTTTGCCTTAGAGAGTGAAAATATAGTAGACAAATAGAAAAGAAGATTTTCTTTTTCAGTACAGGGTGAAAATACTGTACAGAAATAGCTGTAGAGTGAAAAACAGTAAGAAAAAATAGAGAAGAGAATTTTTGTTTTCAGTTGAGAGTACAGTAGACAAATTGAGAGGAAGAAAATTATATCGTCTCCTAAAAAATGCCTTGTATAAGGGTCATGTGACAATTTTCATAAGTAAATCTAACACCAAATTAACAGGAAAACCACATTGTACTTTGACCGAAAATGCAAAGGATTCACTACTACAATTGAAAATTTAGAGACCAAAAGTGAGATTTGGTATAAAGTGTAAAGGTGTGAAGCGTAGTTTACTCTTTACATAGTTGTATGGGCTTCCAAGCTCAATAACTTCTAACCAAGTTCAATGAAAAATGCAGGTTTTGAATGTCTTGTCGAGATTTGCCTGGCTACAAACAGTGTTCCATTTCCAAGTATTTTACTTACACAAACGAACCCTAACTGTACTTGTAGCCTCCCTAGAGATTTTTCGACGTGGCATGTGGAATTTCTTCAGGTATTTTCAAGATAGTGCCAATTTTTTTTTTTTTTTTTTGGGTCCCAAGATTTCATTACCTCACTTTCTTTAATCACAACTTAACATGACTCTTAGAGCTTGTAATTAATTATTTAATTTACTAATTTTGTATGTTTTGTTTGTTTGTTGATTAATTAGGTTGGAGAATGAACATTTGAACAATGTAGGCAGGTATCGTGCATTCAAGACAGTACCTTTGCCTTACAACTATGATGAGGAGGAGGACAAAAATGAGTGAAATTTCACACCAACATACAAGAGGAAGGGTAAAATTTATCTAAGATCCCTAAAGTATGTACTATTTCTCGTCACTTTAGTCTTTGCAGTTTTAATTTTAACAATTTCATCCTTAAAATTTTGCAATATGAGTCAAATTTTTTAAGGGAATAATTATAAAATTAAACTATCATCCCTAAATGTGTTTTGTGTCGTTCTTGTTCTTATAGTTTTGATTTTGTCAATTTTGTCCCTCACTACTAAAATGTTGCATTTTATTTTCTTTATCAATGTGTAGGACACAAGTGACAAAACTAAAAATTTTAGGAAATAAAGTGACGCGAACTTATATTTTAGAGACTCTAGATGTATTTCATTATGATTTTGGTAACAATTTAGCTAGTTCACTTAAAATAAGACTAATTTGACTCAAATTACAAAACCGTTGGAACAAATTGGTAAAATTAAAATTGAAATATCAAAGTGACACAAAACGCTTAGGAACCATGAATGTATTTTATCTTAGAAAGAGCATATGAGGAAGGAAAAAGTTAAAAGAAAAAAAAGTAGAGCTCGGAAATGGAATAGGCATGTCTACCAATGGGGTTGAAATAAGAGGCAGATTTGATTAATTGAATAGAATAATCAAATCAAGTCTTGTGTCACAATTAAATAGGATATGTTGTATAATTTTTTTTAGGGCAAATTTCACTTTACCTCCTGTGGTTTAAGTCGGGTGCTGATTACACCCTGGCATTCAGAAATCATTACATAACTCTCGTGTAGTTTGTAGACTAAAATGCACAGTTAGCTTTTCTTTGCAAGATAACACATTGTGAGAGTCACGCACTTACAAGGCGAGTAACACTATTTTTAAGATGAAAATGCCATTTCTAAGTTTCTTGATTTTCTTACCAAGTTGATTTTCTACTTCATTCTTATATTGAATGAAAGTTTCCAAAGCTTCATCCTTGGTTCGAATTAAATAAATATAACTATATCTAGTATAGTCATCTATAAAAGTGATAAAATACTTCAAGTCTGTTTGGAAGATTTCCAAGATACAGCCGCCCCACCAAGAGTAAAGACATACCTACTGGTGGACTTCGAGTCTCTTGTATTCGATATCCAATTTGCATCACAGTATCCTTCAAGTACTGCTGGATATCTAGTATAATTCAGCCCAATGTTACAAGTAAATCGGAGACATCTTAGAACCCTTATAATTGCTTTCCAATGTTCTAATCCCGGATTACTCGTATATCTACTTAATTTACTTACTGCATAAGCTATATCTGGGCGAGTGCAGTTCATCAAGTACATTAAGCTTCCAATAATTTGGGCATACTCTAATTGAGAAATACTTTCCTGTACATTTTTAGAAAGATACAAATTAACATCTACAGGTGTTCTAGCTAGATGATCATCATCTTTGCTGAATTTGTCAAGTATTTTCTCAATGTAATGAGATTGTGACAAAGCATATCCTTCTGATGTTTTGGTAATTTTCATACCAAGAATTACATCAGCAATGCCCATGTCCTTCATGTCAAAATGTTTATTCAACATTTTCTTTGTAGTTTTAATCATATCATTATTACTACCTATGATGAGCATATCATCTATATAAAGACATACAATGACATAACCTTTATCTGTGTTTTTAATATAAACACATTTGTCACATTCATTAATTTTAAATCCATTTGACATCATTGCCTTGTCAAATTTCTCATGCCATTGCTTTGGCGCTTGTTTTAAACCATATAATGATTTAACCAATTTACACACTTTCTTTTCTTTCCCTGGAACAAAAAACCCTTCTGGTTGTTCCATGTAAATTTCTTCATTTAACTCACCATTTAAGAAAGCGGTTTTAACATCCATTTGATGAATTTCTAGATTGTATAGATATGCAATGGCAATTAGCATTCTAATGGATGTTATTCTAGTAACCGGTGAGTACGTGTCAAAGTAATCAAGACCTTCTTTTTGTCTAAATACTTTGATTACAAGTCTTGCCTTGTATTTGTCAATTGATCCATCCGCTTTCATTTTCCTTTTGAAAATCCACTTATATCCAAGAGGTTTACAACCTAGTGGTAAGTCCACTACTCCCCAAGTGTGATTTTGCAAGATGGATTCAACTTCACTGTTGATAGCTTCTTTCTATAAAGGAGCTTCAGGACTGGACATAGCCTCTTTAAAAGTTAAAGGCTCATTTTCTAACAAAAATGTTAGGAAATCTGGATCAAAAGATTTTGAAGTTCTAGCACGTTT